TTTTGATAAATTTTGAATGCACTGTGGCCCAAAGGGGTTTTAATTTAAAACCATCTTTCGGGGCTATCCCAAAAATGTTCGGGGACCATTTCCCAAATGAGAAAAAAGATTGTGTAACCCAAAAATATAGGCCCTTTGAGCCCTTTTTTTTTATTTTGAAATTTTTTCCGGGGACATGGGAAAATAAATTAAAAGTGCAGGATTTTTATTTAAAAAAACAGTATTAATGTATAATGCCCAAATGTATGTTTTATGTTTTTGTGTACTATTTAACTAGCTTTTCCGCGCACATCTCCGCCCGCGTGTAATCGCAGTAAAAAGTAGCCTATGATTGTATTCATTTGGATAAGGATCAATAATATAATATGTTTATACACTTTTATACACTTTCGCAAATAATGCATTATTTTAGAAAAAAATTGATTACCATAAAAGGGGTTTTAGTGAGGCCCCCCCCCCCTTAAAGATAACATAAAATATTACCTATATATATTTTTATAATACAACTCCCCCCCTAGAAAAAAATCCGGGGTCGCGGGGGCCTTTTTCAAAATACCTGAAACGGCCAAAGGCCCCCTAACTCAGAACAAAATTTTTGGGCACACAAAGTGTTTTTCCCATGTAGGGATCGAAAACCCCAACATTTTCCCCCGTAAAAGGAACGGCGAGGGTTTACTGCTTTTAAACCCACCCCCCCCCCCCCATCCGTGCAGTCAAATAATTTAAAAATTTTTCAAATAAAAAAAAATGCTTTTCGCGGACTTTTTTTTAGAAAATTTAAAGGGAAAAATTTGGCCCCAAAAATAGGTTTGCCGAAACTTTAAAATTTTACGCAGGCCCACAACGGGAAACTCCAAAAAGGGAAAATAAGTTTTTTCCAAAATTTTTAATTGTACTTCCCCTCAAAAAAATTTGGGCATAGGTATGGGTTTTATCCTATAGCTTTTCTTGATAAATGGGCCCATTTAACAAATTTAAATTTAATTTTTAAACGGACTAGTAGTTTTTGAGATTACGCTTCAACCAAAAAAACTCTTTAAAATTTTTAATTTTAGTATAATTTGGGCCCCTTTTTTTTCAAACGTAATAGGTGTAGGAAATAGATATGTGCGCCCTATTTTTTTCTAAGAAAGTCCCGCATTTCTCATAAAAAATTTAAAAAAAACAGAATGAAAAACTAGACTTACCTACCCCGAAAAAACTTTTTATGGTTTCTAAATCAAAAGGGGTTCGAACCCTTGGGGTGCTAATTGGGATGCGTTTAAAAGAACCCCTTTTTTTGGCTATTTTAGATGTAGGGGAGGGAAAAGCCTCCCACTTTCGTCAGCGTACAAAAACTGCAACTGCATTTTATTTTCATAATTATTTAAATTTATAGCTTTTTTGGCTTAATGGTAGGAGTGTTTTTCGTATTTTATGGGGGTTTTTTTAAAAGTTGCTTCAGGCCAAAACGGGTATTTAGATATTATTTTATAGTTTTTACAAAAAATTGCTAATTTTTTAGAGCGAAATTTGAAATACCTTCACCAGCTAAATTTAAATTAAAAAAAAAAAAAATAATTGTGAAAGGGAAAAAGAAACCCTGAATGTATGTCCCCGGGTAACATTTGACTGATTTTGAAAAATTTTTTTTCAACTTCTTTTTTTTTTAAAAATATTTTTCAAATTTGAAATCTTTGTCCCAAGTTGGCCCATTACCCCCAATCGGATTTGATGAGGGATCCTAGAGAAAATCGGGGGAAAACCCCTTTAAATTTTTATATTATATATGGGTATTTGGTTTAGTAGTCAATATGTCATTTTGCTAGCTATGATAAGGGGCCCCTTGACCTTTAGGAGTTGAGGAAAACTCTTTAAAAAATCTTCAGTATTGACCTTGTTTTTTTTCTTTCAAGATACTGGTTATTTTTATGTTGGGTTCAAAGAATGTTCAGAAAGAGAAATATAGAGATTACAAATTGAAAATAAAAAATTTTTACCAAAAAATCTTTCATTTTTAAACCGTTTTACAAAAATATTTTTTCATTTGGAAAGTATTTTTCCGCCTTGTACTTTTAAATTAAAAAAATAGGCTCCCATTTTTGGAAAATTTAAGTAATGTGGAAACTTTTATTTTTTCGGGTTTAAATTAAACTCTTACTGCCTTATCAAATACAGAAAACAGACATTAAAACTATTTTAAAATATAATGTAACATACTTATTTGGTTCTGTACATTACGGTACTTTAGGTTTTAATATCGACTTATTATCATTAAAAAACATTTTAACTAAAATGTTTTAAATAATCCTTTTAAAAAAAAAGTTGAACCACCTTAAAAAATCTGACAAAAGCACAAAAAATTTAAAAAAAAATAATTACAAACAAAGTAAAAAACTTAAAAAGTCCCCAAAAAAAACAGAAAACTTTAATAGAAATACCTTTTCTTTCCCCTGTTTTGCAGGCTTTTTAATAATTTCCAAATTTTTATTACGTTTTGGATATTAATAAAACCGAAGTGAAATAATTTTAAAATACAAAAAAATCATTACTTTAAAAGTATGTATAAAACCCAGATGATACAACTATTGGTGAAATAATTTGGTTTTTTGTTTGTCTTTTTTGAAAGGGGGGCAACCGAGCGCGTGTCACCTCAAAAAAAGGCTACCGCCGCCCATGAAACCTCAACTCAGGATCACAATCGCTTTTGCCGGCCTTTTTTAGAATGAGTGCGCTCCTTTCTTAAGGTCTATCGGTGCGAAAATACGCAATTAACCACGATTGGTTTGAGCGAAGCAAAAATGTTTTGATGATGTTGAGTAAAAAAACTAATGGAAGCAATTAGCTTCTTTATAATCTACGTGCATCGATAAAAAAAATCCCCCTACCTTTTTTTTATTTTTGGGTATGGGAATAACTTTAAAAGTTTTTTTAGGGAAAATATAATAACAAAAAAGCAATTTCATATCTTTATTATTTAAAAAGAAAATCCTATGAAAATCTATCATTTGATAGAAGAGTGACTTCAACAATTAAAAAAAAATTTTTTTTATATTATTTTTTTTACAAAAAAAATTGCCCACACTGACAGAATCATAATACTATTTTATTCGTTATAAGTTAAGGTAAACCATTTTGAATTATTATTACATACCTATTAGAACGAAGCTTCTTTAGAAAAATTTTAATTTTATGTAAAATTGCTTTTAAACTATTTCAGTTTTTATCATTTTGTGTCATACAACCCGCTTCACAAAGTTTTTTGTGGGAAAAGAAAAATTTTTCCATTTTTCACTATCGAAGTTTTATTAAAAATTGTTCGGATTTAAACGACTAATGCTATTTCGATTTCCCTTTTAATTAAACCATTTAAAAACCAAAAGAATGTTTTTTGTTGAAAGTTGTTTTGTCTACAAAATAACATATTTCAATAATTTCTTAAAGAACTGCAAAACAAAATTCTAACTTTTTTTCGATGGGTTTCCCTTTGGTTATGTTTTCAAAAATTACCTAAATTTTTTACAAAAGAGTGTGACTGTTTTTTAATATAAAGCTTTATAATTGTAAAAAAAAACATAATTGTGTTTTCAACATGTGGTACTTTTTTACAATATTTTAAGTCACAAGTTATTAAATGAGACTTTTTTACATGCCTAAAATTTTTTTCGTCCGTCCTGGCACTGTCGCTTAACTGCCGGAGCCGCAGAGTCGGGATGAGTGAAAAGGCGCTCGGTAGAGCAGCCAATCCAATATGCGGCATCTCGGTGGCATCAGTCGGAAAAAGTCCAGAAAAAGTCTCATCTTGGGTCGTGGTTTCCATAAAACCCACCAAGCCTTTTATTATCTACAATCCGACCCCTTTTGTTTTTACAAAATTCATGACATCCGTACTTTTGTAAGATTTAAAAAAAAACGCTTTGTGTTTATAAATACCACATAGCGCGCATAGATAGACTTACTGTACGTACACTTTACAGTTACAATTACACCTTCTCGAGATATATCACTCAGAAAATCTTTATTCAGTTAAATCACAGGAATAGTACTCAGTATTACTAAATGTTTTCAAACTTGGATTGAAAGAAAGTGTTCGTTCCGTCGCCGCGTCGCCGCCTTTGACTAAGTTGCAATTAAACTTTGAGAACCAATAAATGCTATCGTCTGATGCAGATGTCCGTTGTTGTGAGACTGCAATTTGTTCCAATTTCTTCTTATTTAGTTGTTCAGAATAATCACAAAACTTAATACTGACGCGTCTTGAATATCTTTTGCTCTGATTTTTAAACTTTATTATAAGCATATACTGATGCGAGATTTCTGGTAATAAAAGTCTTAGATTTCAGTATTATTTATTTCGATATGCTAGGAACCATTATTAATAAGTTAATAATTTTATTTATAATAAGAAATTAAAATTTTGCCTTAGTGTGAATGTTATAGTTTTCTTGTTATTTAATATCAATCTATAAAACATAAAATATAAAGTACTTTCAAAAATTCAAAAAGTTCTAAACAGATTGACACGGTATACAAACAGCTGCAAATATTGTATTTATCTATTTTTGGTATCAGTATTATTACTTATTTCTCACCATTGCAACCGCAATGTACCACAGCGAAGCCTGGCAGGGTACATCTAGTTTGCTATAAAATTGCAATAAGTAAAGGTATTAATTACAAACACCAATGTTTTACAGACACTACAGTTTGTAGCCAATTCAGTTAAAGAGTAGGTATTTAGTATAAAATTACATGGAAGAAAATGTTTTATTTATTTATGTAGCCCCACAAGAACAAAGAACAAATACAACAAATTGCAACTAAAACTAAAGATATGTCATATAGTTACAGTTTATTGTCTGAACGATTGATATGTAATTCATTGTATTTTGGCAAACCTTATATTTTGGATCACTAGATGATGTTACATTTGATGTTTACAAATTTTTCTATACTATTTGTAACTAACTATACGAGCAATGCCTAAGCTTAAGAATTCATGTATATTTAATTGTTTACAGGCGGACATAGCACATTCGGCCAAAGGCTACGAGTCAGAGGATGAGAACGCGGGGAGAAAGTGGCACAGGGCAAGCGACGAACGGCCAGCCAGCAAGACAACCATGTACTCCAAGCAGGTTAGTAAATATACAAGGTACTGTAGGGATCGAAAGTAGTTTATATCTATAATGGAGTCAAACCGACTTAAATCACACTAAAAAACAACAACTAAATATAAACACACACTCTTGTAAACCTCTAAATTAACCAACCAAATTTTATAGAACCTATTCGACTTGTATCAGGTGCTTGAACCTGGAGTCTAATACATAATCTCTATAGAAGAAACAACCTAGTGTCTTTGTGCTCAATTCTATAAAACATGATAGAAATAATACAGTAAAGAGCTCAGAAAATGTTGTTGTTATTCTGTTCAGTCATCATTATCTTTATTTTGGGGTCGTCGTAACAGTGATCTTGCCAAAAAGGTTTTGGCTAGTTTCTGTCATGGCCGGTGGTCAGTCTGAAACTATTTGGCATAAAAATGGTTTTCACGCTGGACAAGAAAAAATAAATTAAGATGACTAATTCAGTTACGGTTATGGAACTAGGATGAGTTTAAGGAATTATTTATTCATTTAATCTTTATGCACTTTTGTACATCAGTGGACTTAATGCAAAGGGCATTATCTTGATGTCAACCTTTGGGTGGTGTAGAAATCTTGTAAAATAGGTTTACAGAGGTTACATATTATGTGATCAATGAAAATTTATACGGTTCACTACATACATAAACTTATACATACACATATACATTATTATAATCGTATACTATGAATACCAAAATTTCTATTCTATTACGTAGTATAAAAAATAACTATTTTACTAAGAGGCTAAGGATCGTGATTACATATACATATCGTCCAGACTATTCGTAACGGACAAAAATTCACTCCATTTTAATGTATTGCCTGACATATAATATTTTTGCGTGAGAGGTGAGGTGAGACCTTTCAATTATTTCGTACTCCTTATTAATTACTAATTTTCATCTAATTAATTGAGTAGTCAAACGTATATGTCTTTGACCGACGTAATGGCCAGATAGAAAGGGACTGCTAATCAAAGCTTAATTATAAATGAAGTGTATAAATGCGACCAACTGACCACATCCATTTATGCTTTATCTATACTAATTAAAACTTTGATAAAGAGATGACAAAATAATAAAGTGACTAACTGAAGTCTTTTTGGATTTATGAAGATTATAGAAAATACTTTAAGTAACGTAATCTTTCTGTTTTCTTCTGTTTATTGGTTCTTAGGGCCTCAACAGCCTCATTGAGGTTTTCCACACGCCAAAAAAAAAAGTACATTACTCCACATTTGGAATCGAAATTTTAATTGAACAATTGTTTAGTGAGATTTTTGTTTATCTTTTTCATTGGATTTTCATTCACCGATTTAATATAATCCCTAATGTCATGAAATGAAATGTAACTTATTTTTAAATAGTTTTTTTATCAGTACCTCGTAAGTAATATTATTATCTTACATAGAAACACAACACAATACTATTTTATTGATTTACTAGACGAGATTAGGAAGCCTTGTCTTTTGAAAGCACGAAACAATAATATAATAAATTGCCATTTAGAACAAATACATGGCATTATATTTCAATGTAAAAATCTCTGTATGTGGGACTTATGGTTTCTTTGCATAGAACAAAAACAAACACTTTTGACGGAAGAATTATAATAACAACAGTTACAGATAGTTCTAATGTTTATTTAGCAGTAACGCTTAACATAGAAATGTCATCAAAACTCGCATTCCCAGTAGAGTTTCTGCAAAATTGGAGAGTTCTAGTAAGTGGCTAATACACTCACACCAAATACATTTAGTTAAACAGAATAGTCAGTAATTAGAATTCTGTGAGCCAACCTAATCTACTTTGGAGAGCACAAATGCGACCAATTTCGAATTTAGTGTTAATGCTGTAGGCCTATTTTATCGTATTCAATGTAAACGGAGATACCTGCTGTTTGATATTCAACCTTTTTTCTTTTTTTTTCTGTGCTGAAATCCCCTCGGATACCACTTACCGGTGGCAATATCGGACTCGAACCGACTAAAACCGCACGCCGTCTCAGGAACCAGTAGTCGGGGCACCAGGTGTACCCTAGAAAGGAAATCCCTGGTGCCCCGACGTACCTCGGGCCATCTACGGCGGGTAGACGACCACCCTGTGTGGGAACCCCCATGTTCCCTCTGTGCTCCCGGAAGGGCGCGCTCGCTTCGCAACGCGCTCGCCGTCAGCCCGACCTGCTTCTGCTAGTTGTAGTGCGGTCGTTTTGCGACCTCCAGCGCCTGAGCCGTCTGCGCTACCTAGCCCGTTCCCGAGCCTGGCGGGCCGGGAGAGTTCTAAACCTCTCCCGTACATTTTTTTTTTGTTTGTATATTTGGTTTTGTTTTTCAACTTCAACATTATTTAGAACCTAATATTCTGCCGCTTCGCTTCCATTAGTATTGATTGTAAATCAATAATTCCTAGCAATTATTCCTTGATAAAGAATAGGCCATGTGCTGTTGCAGGCTGTACTGTAATAGAATGTCCTAGGCATTAAGTCCGCCGATGTATAAAAGTGCATAAAGCTAAATAAATAAATATTAATTTCAATATCATACGTCTACATAGAGTCTGGTCAGACAGAGTGCCAGTTACACCCCAAAAATACAAAACTACTATTACTAGTAAGCTACTAACTAACAAAGAAGTTTTCAATAGTGAATGTGTACAATATTGAAGTCCAATATTTCCTGGCTACATGCCGTAAATCCTGTCCAACATGGCTGTAACGCCATCTATTACCAACAGCACATGTTGTAACTCACTATTAACGACCAAGATTCTGCACACAGCTTGTTCATGTTCTCTAGTTAAGATTTTTTCTTCTTTCTGTCAGATCAATTATAGACGGGTAAATGTGTGACCTGATTTTAAGTGACAGTTGCCCCCCATTGATACCTGCAACTCGAGAGTAACAATTTCCTAATTGCGCGTTGCACCATCCGAATAACAACTTTCCCTCCCGGGCTTGGATCCCAGCAACCTTATTCATTCCAAAACTCCAGCTGTTACAAGAACAACGAAATCAGGTTGCGATTTGTTTATGTTACACCTAAATAGTTTTTTTGTCTACCTATTTAACGAAGAACTGCTACATCTTTCCGATCAAGATGTTCTATCAAGATTTTTGATCAGACTTAATTTTAGTTAAATGTTCGGAACTTCCTTAAAATTGTATTTATTTAAAAAATGACTATTTTTTTTATGGTATGGGGGGGCGGGGGGGCAAACGAGCAGACGGGTCACCTGTGTAATTACTACCGCCGCCATGTACGCCTGTCACTCAAAGTCACAGTGAGTTGCTGCCCTTGGAGGTCCCTCCCGTCCGCATGCCAAGCGGGAAGGGGGATTTGGGCTCCGGGGTCACCTCACTCCATCTGAGAGTGCAAGACAGAAGAATTGCTTTAGTCAACCGTTTTTCTGTGATTCCGTGGTATCACTCCTGTCGAGCCGGCCCTTCGTAGCCGAACACTGCTCTTCGCAGAACGGTACGAGTATTACCTATTATTTGTAAACCTATAGGCACAGCCAGCAATTACTCCAGCTAATTTAATCATCATAACCGATTTTCTAAAGTAAAGTTGGTTTTAATAACTTTCTGGTTCTAATGGTGATGATACATTACTCTTTGAAACTTTTAGGCCAAGTATTTTTGTTTAAGTGTAATAAAATTACGTGGTAGTGAAATGCGACAGATATACCTGAAATTAAAAGGGGTTATCTATACTGGCCTGTCTAAAAGGGATAACATGGCTCCGACATGAGGAACTGGCTGATAACGAACCCAACAAGCCACAATAACACTGTAGTCTTTATTCATCGTGAAATTCTTATGATTTTACTAACTACTGCACTTATTTGTTAAGATGGGACTTTTAGTGTAAAAATTGTGGGCTAAACTAAGATAAGAGGTAGCCATAGTGTTATAAGCCTGAACATAAATGAGTTGATGTGAAGAGGGTGTCTATTGCAACATGCGACGTTGTTTCATTCGTTAGGTTATTTACAACAGGTTTCTCTAAAGAATAACTCGTTAGAACCATAATATTTTCTTTAACTTGATTATTTCCAAAAATGACGTTTTAACTGACAATCTACATTTCGAGTCGTCAACAGGTTTTACAGCTTCGGTGACCGTTCCCTTCCCTTAGTAGTATAAAACTTTCAATTTCGGTAGTGCCGACTTTTGATATATTTTTTGTATAAGTGGATAGATAATAGCACTTTTAAAATGAACTAATCTATTATAATGGATTACACTGCCACTATTTTCTGAAGAAAGAAGTATGCTTTATCTGTGTTGTTGCTTTCTACTTGCTAAAGAATTCATAGTTTGTAAGTCCTTTAACTAGTAGGACAAAGTTATGTTAACTTAATAATGCGGGTGTTTAATTTCATGACTCGATCGTTTGGTGTGGTTTATCGTATTCGGTAAAAATACTGACGGTTTATGTAAAATTAATAACTAGTTCATCTTCTGCATTTTCAAGGCGGAAGACTTCTTTTACCCACATGAAATAATAAATGTACTTTAAATTTAATTTCATTCAAATATGGAGAATACGTTAAGACTAACTGATAACATAACGACGCACAAAGCTATGCCTTCTATACTATATATTTACCATGTCCTGGGAACGAGAATTTTTCTTTCTAAAGATACTACTGTATAATCATATGAAATTGAATTATATGAACACATCCATTGCAGTAGCAGCTTGATCAATTCACAGCGTTTCTTGCTCGATCAAAGCAGACTAGTCACCCAATCTGACTTTTTCTTGGCTTGCAAACGTTGTGCAAGGAGGGACACGATTGGTAATTTGTCTTGTCAGTGGTGTGAAATTATATCACACGCGAATGCAAATTTGTCCAATTTTGCGCTGCGTCGTCTGACACAATGTCTTCGAGGAGCAAATTTCCAGAGCAGTTTCCCTTGATTGGCGGGTTTCCACATGTAGTTTCTTTGCATTGTTAGTATGTTTTTAAAATAGTATAAGATTTAGATTTTCTCACAGTACACTTAACTCTTTAGTTTCTTTCTTTGCTTTTCACCGAATGAGTGAGGTTATCGGAGGGGGGGGACGCTCCGTTGGGTTATTTTCAAGAATTTCGTTGCCCATAGTTGACGTGGGTATCTAGGATCAGGTGACCCGTCTGCTCGTTGTGTCTGCCTTCGGTATGAATACTCTAACAAACAGGTAAAAATGTATCCCTTTAGCCCTTAGGGACAATACACCTTTCTAACAGTGGAAACATTTTCCAAATCGGATCATTAGTACCGGAGATTATCCCAAACATACAAACTCACAAACTTTACCTCTTTATAATATTAGTATAGTTTTACTATAATATTAGTAGTATGATGAAGTTGATTTGACTATATAGACAAAAAAAAATATATGAAAAAACACCCTAATCAATGACACTTAATAAGTAATAAAACTTAAGTTCAATTAAAGTTAAAGAGAACCTAGGCAATGCATACTTTCTATTAAAGTACAATTTATCTTAAAATGTACATTACTCCTGCCATACAATAATAATAAAAACCTAATTTAATCTAAACCGTATCGGTTTTGCCACTGTTGGTAAATAAATTAAATAACCTAGACAGCATTTTTGCTGACATAGCATCTTATCTAATCATGATGATCAGAAATGGGACCAATATATACAATAGGCGTCCTTTGTGTACACAATAAATATATTTTCTCCACAATAAAAGTCTTAGATCCTTGTATTCCGAACCACAATGATGACCTTAATTAAATAACTTGCGTATCTTTTATTTGCCACAGGAATTCCGGGAACAATACTGCATCAACAACAAACAATTGGATCTGCTGGAACTGGAGAAGTCCAAGAAGGACAGATTCCTCGGATGCCTCTCACAATACCATATCGAGAGTCCATGTTCACGAGCCAATAGGTAAGACCACTCGCTAACACAGTATATGTACTGGGGGTCAAGTTTATTTTATACTAGCTGAGACCCGCGGTGTTACCCACGTTTGTTGTTATAACCGCGGGCAACGCCGCGGGGCGAAGCTAGTCTATAAAAAGTAGCCTAAGTTACTCCTTATGACATCAGCTATCTGCCAGTGAAAGTCCCGTCGAAATCGGTCCAGCCGTTCCAGAGATTACCCGGAACAAACAGACAGACAAACAGACAAAAATTGTAAAAAAGTTATTTTGGCATATGTACCGTGTAAACATGCATGCATTTAGTAAAAAGCGGTTATTTTAATATTACAAACAGACACCCCCTTTTTTCTTTATTTGTATAAATGAACTGGATCGGTGTTGCGATTAATGAAGAGTTCATTGCGGGCCAATATGTACGATGATCGAGTTAATCTATACAAGTAAATAAATTGAAGTGTCTGTTTGTGATGTCAAAATTATAGGTATTTACATGCTCACACGGTTATTAAAAATTTGCACGATACCTACGCCTTAAAAACCAATTAAAATATTTTTTATCTGCCTATTTGTGGCGGGTAATCTTCAAAACAGCTAGACCGATTTTCATAAAATTTTACTACCAGGTAGCTGTTTATATATGGAGTAACAAAGGCTATTCTTCCTTGCAGAAAAACCCTATAAAATTTTGCCTTTTTCGGGCATTGAACCCAAGGCCTCACTGACTGCAGTCACGTACCGTACTACACCACTAAGCCAGTGCTTTTCAAATTCCACGCGAACGAAGACGCGGGTACCAGCTAGTGTAAAATAAACTTTCACTACACCCCCTGTACTATGATTGGTGACAGGCTAATGATATACGTAATGACACTTCAAAAAGTTTATTATCATTAAGACAGAAAAAAATATACCTATTGTTTGGCATATTCCTTGGCTATTTCAACTTGATGTAACTGACTGTAGATTCTAACTTTACGATACAGCCATACCCGATTTAGTAATTATATTATCATCTTGTGATATACAAAATCCTTTTCTTCTGATAATAAAGATCGATAAAATATCTCAAATATGTATGTGAAGACAAACTCATAACTTGGTGTGGAGAACCATCGTGAATGTATATCCGCACGGATTAACAGTTATGGCTAATCAAAGACTTTTCATGTTCATCCGTAGTAACATAAGCTCGCTAACGTTGAAAGAACAGATCAGCTTAATTCACATCCTATTTGTATACAAAGAGCGTTGAACCCACCTAAGCGTAGCTCGACTTTCTGGGTACAAACTTGCTCATGTAAATGGCTCCGTGCATTCAACGCCGTCTGTTAAACAGCTCGCGTTAACGAATGTCCATTGTCTATGGTACAGATAAACAACCGTTCGTACAAACCGAAGCGACATACATGACACGTTAAGCTTTACTTGGCTTTTTTTGCCACGGGATGTTTTACGGTAGTTTAAAAGGTTATGGTAAATACAGTAATTAAAAAAAAAAAATGTCTGGCTTGTTGGTTTGGTGATTAGTGATCCTGACTGCTAAACCGTGGTCATGAGTTTGTGGAGGAACACGTGTCATGTCCCTCCAACACAAAGGGAGGATCCTTCGACCAGGCGAGATGATCATGCCTGGCGGGCCGCGGCCCAACGGTTAATGTTGGGAAGTTGAATATACGCCAATCGGCGAGAGAATTCTTTATATCGCGATACAGGATTAGGAATTCTCATTCAGGAGTTACTCCGTAGTTCGGTGTGTCTTCGTTAGATGGCGCTATAGTATGTTTTTGTTTCCTTGTATCTATGTTTGGAACTAGTATATCTACAATTTATATGTTTTGATAAATGTAAAAGTAAGTTCATCAGCAGTCTAGTTACTGAAGCGTAGTCTCTGCTTAATTTAGGATCAGCCTGTCATGTGGAAGGCGTATCAAGTTATTATATTATTATAATCTATGTAACCTTAATTTTGGTTTTGGTAAAGTGAAAACTTAAAAATAGAAATTTCCTATAATAACAAGTGAAAAGAAATATTATATGCGAATCTTTACCTTGAAAAAAATAAATTAGTATAATTATTATGTAAGAGGTATATTTAGTTACCATTAAAGTTATATGATTAGACCAGTTTATTTATCTGAACCTTGTTATAGCGAAAATATAATTTATTGTGTCTCTGTCTAACAATGACCTTTTCAAATAGAATTCTCTAATTTTTTTCTAATGGAATGTCTTTCTACAACTTCTTTTGTCTACAACTCCTTATAATAACTTTCTTGATTATTCACGATTACTACTATAATCTGAAGTAATTTCTATTTCGTAACTCTGATTGGGAATCGATGTACTTTGATTAAACCTGTCAAGTTGTAAATGCATCAAATAACGTAGCTTCAAACATTTTAAATAAAGTTGAATGCTTGAGTTATTAACATTTGCGTAAAACCTTTCAGTTTTTAAGGTAATCCACAACTGTTTTGCTACAGGAGGATAAGGATTGATCCCTGTAAATATCCGACCCGACGTTTTATTAAAAACCTCTCATAGGCCTTTCATTTTGGGTCTTAACTACCATCTCTTATTTGCAAGATGGATTATTTAACCTGTGTTTGCGACTCCTAACCTCTTACCAAACCTGGCCTTTTGAGTTCTTTATGGCGTATAGAAATAAGAACTACGCGACGTTATTTCAACATACCCTTTTCATTTTCGTGCCCTGCCCTATGCTTTTAAGGGTCAAGCTATGTATATATATATTGTATTGTATTGTATAGTGTATTGTAGAAACATTTTTAAGAAGTGTGGCTGCCGCCTGCGTTTATATCGGCTATCAAGGAAAATAGTAACCTATGTCCTTCTTCTCTAATCAAAATATTTCCATGCCAAATTTCATTGAAACCAGTTTACCGGTTAAGCCGTAAAAGCATAACAGACAGACAGAGCTACTTTTGCATTTATAATATTAATAGTGATAATTCATATTTGACCATCAGGTGAGCTTTATGATATTTTATTTAAGCAGAAAAAACGATACTTACAATATTGTATTTACATGTAGTAATAATTTTATTTATATACAAAACTCGTTAAACTTCGTCCACAACACTTGTGTAGTTCAAATAGTATATTTAATATACTTCATGAAGTCTTTTTACTTGCCTACTTACTACTACCACTTGCCCACTAATTGGCCAGCCCCTTATTTCAAGCTAACTTTGAATTAGAAGGAATAATGATATGCTTGCCCAGTTACAATACAAATACAAATTCTACAGTTTATTTACTTATAATACATTTCTGCTTACGTATTCTGAACTTGATGAAAATCTCAGCCGCAATCGACATTGCATTGGCTGTTCTTTAAGAAGCGCTATAAAAAGAGCTGATATAGTTTTGCTTTCAGTTTAATTGTCCTTCATAAGATACAATCAATGATAATACTTACTTTTGTAGGTTTTTAGGGCGGCAAAGCACTTGTGACTTTTGAGTTGCAGGTGTCCATGGGCGGCGGTAGTTGCTTACCATCAGGTGACTCGTCGGCTCGTTTGCCCCCTTATACCATAAAAAAATAAAATAAAAAAAAGAACCTCAAAAGGAAAAAAGCGGAACCTTTATAGGATGACGGATCACTTTTTTGTCCGTCTGTCTGTTTGTCAAGATCCTTTATCTCGGGAACGCGTTTGAGTATTGAATTGAAATTAAAACCATATACTCAGGTCTACGATCCCTTGAAGCTGTAAAATAATCAAACTATATATTTTATGCGACATGCGCCATTTTCAATAGGATTAAAATTCATAGGTTACTTCCCGTTGACTTATAACTCTGTAATTTGGCAAGTAACATCGTCTTATACTACAAGTACAGAAAAAAAATATGAAATATTACATTGGTAAAAAAAATGTAATCTTTATCTAAAGTACGTAATCAATTATCAAGATACTTTTCTCTTATAAAAGTCTTGCGGTTCAAATTTATAAAAGCTTTAGTTAAAAGCTTTTATAAATTTTTCTGACTATTTCTCATAAAACTGATTATTTCTCATAAACTCGTAAATACTCCGTACGACGCGTCGTGCTTCAAATCATACCAAAATCGGTGACAAAGTATAGCACATTTATATTCTGACATTGCAAAGAGGACTTTATACATGAATAAAGGTCTCGTAGCAGAAATTTTATCATAATTTGACAAATAAGAGTCAAGTTTCAAATTAGGAACCATTTTCGAGGGCCCGGGTCTAAATTATAGAATTTTTTATGTTTTTAGTAGACTGCAAGTTTGTTCAGAAATCTAACAGATGACTAGTACTACAAAACACGTCAATATTCCTTAAAACAATATCGCTCCATTAGAATCCACAAAGTCTGTTGCTTCCCTTTACAAAGTTAGACGAACGTGGTTATTTACTTTAATGTCGAAAGACATTATGTTTTCAATTTGCCTTCTAATAAAAAAATATACCTGTTATAACTCCAGTGGTTATAAAATGTTTTGTATCTTGTTTCGCGTGATCCCATCTGAGCTGTTTAACCGGAAGCTTTCATGCATAAGTATGAGCAAACTTAGCCTATTAACATTTTGTGTAAGGTAATATAAAATATTAGCTCAAGTAAGAAAATTTCCCAATGTGACTGTAAAAGTATAGCTTCAGAATAATAAAATAAGATGAGAGTTTTTATCAGTTCAACAATTTTTTCTTGGCTGAATGAACAAGTACTGAATGAAAGAAACATGATTAAAAATTTATTGGAATAGCAGATTATCATGTTTTGTCTTGTTCTAACAATATTCTTTTTTACTGTCACGAAAAGACCAACTGTAGTTACGAACTAACTCACCATAATAATAGTAACAGCAAAATTATCAGACCCTTTTAAATATTGTTTTCTTTACTTATAAGTCGACCCACTTTACCTCTCCATGTACAAAACAACACGTGCCATTTTTCACTATGATAGCTGTTTTTCTATTGACTAAAACTTCAGGTATCATAAAGATTTTCTA